TGAAATCAATTGATTGAGATTTAAATGTTTACCTTGTAAAACTGTATAGAGTATTGCTAATAAAATGCTTTCCAATCAGACGTAACATTTCACAATGTTTTATTACTTTTTTTCATATGTATATGTGATGGAAGCCTGTCAGTCATTCAATTTATTTATTCACAATACATTTGAAATAATAAAGGCAATTTCAAAAGGTTTTTTATGTGGAGTCTCAAACGTTTAGAATGATCAATAAGAAAGCGAGCTAAATGAGCAAAGTCAAAATAAGGAAATAAAATCATTACTTAATATAGAACTCTCAACCAAAACCTACATAAATTTTAAACATTTTTTTAAATTAAACAGCTGGATATTGCGCCACAATCTTAGTCAATCCCAATAGGTATAGACAAATGCGGTACCATCTTAAGAGTTATAAACCAAATTAAACTGAAACAATTTAATAAAAAGATTGTAATTAACACATCTAAAAGAATTTTAATTTAAATTAATTTTGCATAATGAATATAAGATCATTGAATAAATTTAAACATGTCTAATCTATCCTATTTTTGCATCATTTATTGAGAATTGTGTTTTCCTTATAGATGGCGTGAGTGTAGCGGATTGCTACGCTAGTAAAGCCTGGCAGACTCAGAAATCTCTATGGCAGATTCTTCAACATCCAGTTAGACTTCAAGAACTAGCTATGCTACAGCCCAGCTTTAAAGGAAACAGATGAGTAGCACGGAGCCCGTTCATCTAGTAAGTATATTGTGGATAAAGTGTACACGCAGGGAGCTACTCATGATCAGGATGGGGGATTTGGTAAAACAAACATAAGCTACTGATTGGCCACTGTTTGTACGATCGCACCTCCCAATGGTAAAACAAACATAAGCTACTGATTGGCCACTGTTTGTACGATCGCTGTGCACAGAGTTTTACGGCCGCATCTTCCAATGATGGCATGCAGGCATGCAATGACGCACAAAGCGATAACGTGTCCCACAATAGTGCGTGTTGCCTCCGTTACAACACTTTTTGGTTTGAAGCAAATAATTCCCGAAAAGTGCAACGTATTTGTCTAGTAATTTATCATAACAAAACACAAACCTGCGTTCTTAGTGCATTTAACATCAGTGATACTGAAAATCCATTTAAAGTCTCGCTTATTGGCTAGTGACTTAAGCAATTGTTGCAGGAATGAAGACTTCTTGTTCTTAAAAAGAAAAAGTAAAGTGTTTGACTCACATTCAAACCTTGTGTTTTACATAAAATCTAATATGGTATAAAGCAGTGTATTTTTTGAATCTCCATCCAGATTACAGTTTACCTACAATTTTTGTTAATCCCTGTCCCCCTCCTCTCGACTTATTTTCGCTTTGATATTCCTTCCCATCTGTGAAGCCTGAAGACAACTAAAGGGCTAATGATAACTATTAAAATGCCTGCCATTTGATAAAAATAAATTCTCAGCAATCACTTTAATTATAGGAAAGATAGTTTCAAATTCGGAGTTTTAAAGTCTGGCTATGTAGGAACTATAACCGGCAAGAATAATATGTCTTAAGTTTGATCAAGTGTATAGGCATTAAACTTATACTTCAGTAGATTCTTTGTAAACGATTATGATTTTATAGTCCATTTGGATTTTATTTCGAATTTCAATGATTAAAAGTGGGGTGCGCCACGTGGTGCACCCTAGACAACGTATCGATATACGGCACAAAGTCTACCACTCGACATTTGACTTCTATTGATTATAATAAGCTTGAAACAAGGCTATAAGGGAATGATGGAGGGCTGTCACAGGACAAAAGATCCAAGGCCAGAAAATCGTAAAAAAACCTTGATGTAGACATTTTCACAATCATGGAAACAAACCTTTCGGATGACAAACTGAAGTACTACCAATTCCCAGGTTACACCCTGTGCAATCCACCTAAATACCGGCAAGTTGCAAGTGGAATTCTGACTAGACTAAAAGAAGGCCTTACATTAGATCTAATCAAGAGTATGGGCACGACACAAGAAATATGCAAAAAAATCAGATTAAATGTTTGGAAATGTCAAAACCACTTCAAGGTACATGCATTCTATAATCCACAAGAGAATAGTACTAACTATAACTTTCTGAACATCTCACACATAACAGAAGAATTAGGAGACTTCAACGCTTATTCCACCAGATGGGGCTATAGGAATACAAACATAGCTGGTAAGGAAATCGAAGACATGTTAAACAGCAACCCTCTGGAATTACTCAGAGCAGTGAGGATTCTGCTAATATTTGCAAAACATGGAATCAGAAAAAAACCTGACTTACTTTTGGCTTCAAGCGCCATCAGCGAGCATACTCACAGCAAAACATTGGACGATCCTGGTTCTGGTCACAAACCAGTCAATGCAGTATAGCCATCGGCCGCAAAAGCAAGACAAGGAAAGTGTCAACTACGCTACCATTGAAATTTAAGAAGGCTGACTGGCCTAGATTCACAAACCTTTAAGACAATGAACTTCACACAAGTCCCCTCAACTTCAACCAACATCCAGGAAATCTTTGCAGTGATATCATGATTATTATGATCAGATGTGCAAAAAAACTATTTTCCGAGGCAAGACAAAACACTTTCGAGTGTTTTGGTCTGAACACCTAGAGGAACTGAAAAGAAAGCTGGAAGCCCTTCGCAACAATTCTGACCAGACTGGAAGAACGGAAGACGTACAAGCCTGGATACGGCCGTCAGCTGCCCTAAGACAAGCCATCTTACAAGCTAAACGGTCTTAATTCGATAAGTTCATTTCAAATATCAACTATCATAGTGATAGCCAAGGCACTTTCAAATTCCTGGGTAACCACAAAAACAACAGGGAAAGACCCAAGAAAGAACTATTATGCTAAAATAACAAACTGCTTACCACCGACTCCGAAATAGCTAACTAATTTTCGAGGTTTTATTCCAACGAGCAAATTAAAATCCATTTTGTCAGATAATCTTCAAGAGATTTAGAGATGCAGGTAAGACAGTTTGGTGAAATTACGGAAGACATAGCAACACAAAATAATGTACTTACTGAACCATTCAGACCTTGCAAACTTAATGCTGCAATAAAACAGAAAATTACAAGAAGACTACTGGCAAAGACGGTTTTCAAACGGACACTTTTCAACAAAATGTGGGAGACCAGTCTTGCACCAAACCAATGCAAAGTTGCCACAGTAATACCGGGACTAAAAAGGGCAAAATCCATAGCAACTTTGACAACTATAGGCCTACCTCTCTCACAAGCGTTTTGACTAAACTTATAGAAAGAATTGTTAACAGGTGGCTGACTTGGTTCCTTGAGATCAACAATATTCTTAGGAGTGAACAAACTTGTTTTAGGCCACAAAGATCATTTAACCAACAAGTAGCCACTTTCTCCCAACACATCAAAGATGGAGACCAAGCAACCCACCATTCTTGCACTCTCAAGTAGCCACTTTCTCCCAACACATCAAAGATGCCCTTGATGCGAGAAATACCCTTACGGCTGTTTTCGTCAATTTCAATTCAGCATATGACTTAGTATGGAAAGAGAAGTTAATTCTAAACCAGCATATGACTTAGTATGGAAAGAGAAGCTAATTCTAAATGGCAAGATTGGTATTAAGCATAACATGCTAAACTGGATAAAAAATTGGTATTAAGCATAATATGCTAAACTGGATAAAAACATTTATTGGACAAAGATCATGAATAGTCAGATATGGAGATGCTCTATCAAAATCCTATCTTTTACAAACAGGCCTTCCACAGGGAGCTGTCACAAGCTGCACTATTTCCAATGTCTTCATCAATGATATAGCCGAATTATTACTGACAGTCACGGGCATCAAGAGCTTACTTTATGCAGACCATCTTCTTCTATGGTATTCCGCCCCAAAGAAATACGCTCAGAAGAGGATAGAAAGAGCTCTAAATAGTACACTTAAACTACTAGCAAACTGGTGCAACAACAATGGAATGGTTATAAAACTGAAAAACTGCATTCCAAACTTTTTCTTTGGCCTGTCACTGCATAAACCAGCTTCAAAAGTAAAAGGATACTACCCCAGAAAAAACCAATGAGTTCAAATATCTCGAAATGACGTTTGACACAAAGCTAACGTGGAAAAGTCACATTGCGCCAAATAGCAGAACGCGTCTCCAATAGACTGAATGTCCTGAAGCTTGTGGCTACTTGTTGGTTCGTTGCTCTTTGTGGCCTCAAACCTGCTTGTTCACTCCTAAGAATATTGTTAGTCTCAAGAAACCAGGTCAGCCTCCTGTTAACCATTCTTTCCATAAGTTTAGCCAGCACGCTTGTGAGGGAGATAGGTCTATAGTGGTCAAAGTTGGTAGGGTCTTTGCCCTTTTTTAGTACTGGTTTTAATATGGCAACTTTCCATTGGTTAGGTACGAGACTGTTCTCCCAGATTTTGTTGTAAAGCGTCAGCATGGTTTCTTTGGCTTTTGGACCCATTCTAATTAGAAATTCTGGATGAATACCGTCTTCGCCAGGAGACTTCTTGCACTTTAGCTGTTTTATCGCAGCATTAAGTTTGCAAGGTCGGAATGGTTCAGTAAGTACATTATTTGGTGTTCCTATGTCTTCCTTAATTTCACCAAACTGTCTTACTTGTATCTTTAAATCTCCTGAAGATTTTCTGACAAAAGGGTTTTTCTTTTGCTTGTGGGAATAGAACCTCGCAAAGCAGTTAGCTATTTCGTTGCCGGTGGTAAGCAATTTTCTGTTTAAGCGCATTGGTTCTTTCTTGGGTCTTTCTCTGTTGTTTTGGAGGTTTCTCAGAAATTTGAAAGTCCGTTTGCTATCACTTTGGTAGTTGATATTTGAGATGAACTTGTCGAAAGAAGTGCGTTTAGCTTGCAAGATGGCTTGCCTTAGGAGAGCTGATTGTCGTCTCCAGGCTTGTACGTCTTCCATTCTACCAGTCTGATCAGCAATGTTGCGAAGGGCGTCCCTCTTTCTTTTCAGTTCCTCAAGGTGTTTAGACNCTTGCCTCGGGGAATAGTTTTCTTTGCACATCTGATCATAATATTCGTGATATCAGTGCAAAGTTTGTCAGGATGATGGTTGAAGTTGAGGGGACTTGAATAAAGTTCATCCTCTAAAAGGTTTGTGAATCTAGACCAGTCAGCCTTCTTGAAGTTCCATGATAGCTTAGTTGGCACTTTCCTTGACATGCTTTTGCTGCCGATGGTAATACTAGCAATGACTGGTTTGTGACCAGAACCAGGATCGTCAATTATTTTGCGGCGTGTATGCTCACTGATGTCGCTTGAAGCCAAGAGTAAATCAGGAATTGTTCTGGATCCATTGTATTGCAAATAAGTAGCCGGATCCTCATTGCTATAAATAAGTTCCAGAATGTTGCTGTTTAGCATGTCTTCAATTTCCTTTCCACCCATGTTTGTATCCTTGTATCCCCATCTGGTGGAGTGGGCGTTGAAGTCTCCTAATACTATAGTTTTGTTTGAGATGTTCAGAAAGTCAAAGTTTGGACAATTCTGGGGAGGATTATAGACTGCATATATCTTGAATTGGTTTTGACATTTCCAAACATTTAATCTGATTATTTCACATTTGTCTTGTGTCGAGCCCATACTCTTGATTAGATCGTAGTGTGTGGTGAGGCCATCTTTTACTCCAGTTAGAATTCCACTTGCCTTTTTTAAAGCTAATCATAATTAATCGAAGTCAAAAACGAATGCCGATTGATAGACTTTTTTTGCCGTAAGAAAATACGTTGTCCAGGGTGCACCACGAGGAGGTAAGTCTATCGCGCACCCCTCATTCCGCAAAATTAGCTGGAACAAATGATATAATTCCTTTCTTATTTAATTTTTAATTTACTAAAGTATTTCAGGTTGATTGATTTATTCTAAAACCATCGTGTATTTTCATTTAATTGACCATTTATTCACTAATCTCTGTTTTTAACTTCTAGGACACAAAATGGAGCATATAAATTCCCACAGAAATAAATTTTTCTTCTGTGGATTGCTTTAGACATATAAATGGTAATCTTTTTTGTAAGGATGTGTAAAATGCCGTGCTGTTACAATTGCTTAAACAGCAAGCTATAGCACATATTATGCTTATTTAATGATGCCGTCTCAACGATAATTTAGTCAATAAAAATTCGACTTCCTCTTCTTTCAAATTCATTTTTTTGAATTTTCGAAGAAAAGGATAGGATAAATCAATTACTATCACCTTTTTATAGTTTTCAGTGCATTTGAACAGCATATTATTAGCATTTGCGAAATCGACCTATTTAGTAGTAATAGTAAAAGTAATAGGTTGCTTAAAGTTATATCACCTTAAATTTCTTGATTTTTATGTTTATGCTTACATATAAATTAAAAATTATTACATTAATATTCTAAGCAAATCAGTCTTGCAATAGGGCTAGTCGAAGACGTAATTTTCTTTGTAAAGTATTACATAACCTAATCGTTAGCCTTGGAGGTCATAACCACTCAATTAATAGAAAAATGTATTTTCAGTATGGCATTCTGAATAGTTTGAAATGCTTGCAAAAAACGTTCACATGGAGACTACATATCTTTAAGTTAAGAAAATTTTAACGAAAAAATTTTTCCTGAAGGACTAAACATTGAATAAAAAGTATTTGTTATTGTAATTACCCTTTGTTGAGGTAGAGAAAGCGTTTTATGAAAATACACGATATATTACCCAGCCATTTCGATGTCAATATCTGCTTCAAAGGATGACGACATTTCAATGAATTGCTACAGTTACCTAGGAAATAATATGGATGGTTTTAGTGAATAATGTTTTGTCTCATAATTTAGGCTTTTTATGAAATTATCGATAAAACGCGAATAAAGAATATTCGATCAAGTGATGAAAGTTAATTTTCGACATATTTAAAATTAAAATTCCAATGCGACGTTAATTAAAATGCTCGTTCATTTTAACTTTCCTGAAATATTTTCAAATTTCGAATGCGCGATCAAATAAATGTTCGAATACGCAATAAAATGAAAGATTTTTAGTCAACTTTTATAGTTATTTCTATTTTAAAACTCCTAAATTTTGAAATACCTTATATTAACGCAAACGTTTTTTTCTATTGTAGATGGTTATTATGATTCCGAATAGCATTTTTAAAGTAAATTATTATGTTTAATAGATTCATTTCATAAATACATTTAGAGTTCCTTGAAATAAATTAACTGTTAATTATATGTTGCAATTTGCTATCTATTAGCTTCAAATCAATTATATTTCGTTTATTTCTATTCATTGGATTTATTTATCTTTAACTGTGAAACCGTTTTGTTATCCGACTACTATAAGTCACTACAAAAATACAATTTAATAAGAGAACAAAATGATTGATTTGTTTAAATGTCATAAATTTCATTAATAATTTTTGGGCATGAATAAATAATTATACGAATATAAGTAGAGTGTTGCCATTGAAAAAGGAAAGACCCAATAAAGAACCAATACACTTAAAAAACGAAGTGCTTACAACTGACTCTGAAATAGCTAACTGATTTACAAGGTTCTCTTCCAACAAGCGAAAAACCTTTATTGTCAGAAGACCTTCAAGAGATATAAAGTTGAAAGTTAGACAGCTTTTTGAACACCACTTACAAGATGGTTATTCAGCCAATAATGTTGTATTGCTGTGAGCCACTCATTACAGCCACAGAGGTGACTCTCAAACCACTCGAGAAGGCACACAACCAAGCATTACGACTAATTACTGGAGGGATAAAATCAACACCCATTGATGCAATGCTCCAAGTTACAGGAAACACCACAATAGGCTCCCTTATCAAAGAGAAGGCCTTGATCCTGTATGAGAAACTACTGCGCAGTCCCATGGATTAGTTCTTCAGCACTTATGAGAATAGACCAAGACATCTGAAAACGCAATCCGGTCTAATATAGAAAGCCATAGAACTGAAGAAAGCATTACAAATCGATGATAAACCAAAAAGCCTCTCTCTCCCTATGAACCCATTAGCAGACATTGATGTAGTGTGTTGCATCCAACTGCTTGACTTCTTCAGGAAATCAAACACTCCTCCAGAGCAAATTCGCTCACT